ATCCCATCCCATCCCCTCTCACCTGTTCTCCTCCTCCTTCTCCCTCTCCCTCTCCCGGAGCTTTTCCAGCCATTCCCGAGGGCAGGAAAATCCCTGGAGCTTCCGAGCCAGGGCCAGCACGAACGAGGCGGGGTCACCTGGGGACCCCCAAACACGTCACACCCCCCTGCTGAGACCCCCAAAAACTCATCACACCCCCTGCTGAGACCCCCCAAACTCATCACCTGCTGAGAACCCCCCAAACTCATCACACCCCCTGCTGAGACCCCCCAAACTCATCACACCCCTGGGGGTTTCTGGGTGGGGGTCTCAGTGGGTGGGGGTCTGCGGGGGGGCTTTGGGGGGGTCTCAGGGGGGTCTCTGGGTGGGTTTTGGGGTGTTTTTGGGGTGTTTTTGGGGTCTCTCTCACCCTGCACAGCCAGGCTGAGTCTCCAGGGTCTCTGGGGGTGTTTTTGGGGTAATTCTGGGGTCTCTCTCACCCTGCACAGCCAGGCTGGGGTTCCAGGGTCTCTGGGTGGGTTTTGGGGTGTTTTTGGGGTGTTTTTGGGGTGTTTTTGGGCTCTCTCTCACCCTGCACAGCCAGTTTGGGGCTCCAGAAGACCCCGGCGTTCCGCAGCAGCTGCTCCCTGTGCCGATTCACGGCCACCACGGCGGCGCCGCGGCCGAAGAGGCGCCCGTAGGACAGGCGGAAATCGCACACCGCGCCTTGGGGAGGGGGGGGGGGGAAACACACGGGTGTTTCAGGGACCACCCGCACCTCCCCCTCGCCCAGAACCCCCTCGGGGTCCCCATTTCCCCCCCAACCCCTCCCATCGGCGGTACCTGCGAGCAGCACCAGGTCCGCGTCCCGCAGGGCCTCGCGCCGCCGGTGCCGCAGCCCCAGGGGGCTCTCGGGGGGCAGCAGCCCCCGCGCCGCCCCCCCCAGGTAGCAGGGGGTGCCCAGGGACTCCAGCGCCGAGCTGGGGGATGGGGAGGGGGTGGGGGGGTCAGTGGGAACTCCAAACCGGCTCGGTTTGGGCCCAGGCTGGTTTGGTTTGGGGCTTTTCCAAACTGGTTTGGTTTGGGGCTTCAAACTGGTTTGGTTTGGGGTCTCAAATTGGTTTGGTTTGGGGTCCCAAACTGGTTTGGTTTGGGGTCCCAGTCTGGTTTGGTTTGGGGCTCCAAACTGGTTTGGTTTGTGGTCTCAAACTGGTTTGGTTTGGGGCTCCAAACTGGTTTGGTTTAGGGCTCCAAACTGGCTCTGTTTGGGGTCCCAGACTGGTTTGGTTTGGGGCTTTTCCAAACTGGTTTGGTTTGTGGTCCCAGACTGGTTTGGTTTGGGGTCTCAAACTTGTTTAGCTTGGGGCTCCAAACTGGCTCTGTTTGGGGTCCCAGACTGGTTTGGTTTGGGGCTCCAAACTGGTTTGGTTTGGGGCTCCAAACTGGTTTGGTTTGGGGCTCCAAACTGGTTTGGTTTGTGGTCCCAGACTGGTTTGGTTTGGGGCTCCAAACTGGTCTGTTTGGGGTCCCAGACTGGTTTGGTTTGGGGCCTCAAACTGGTTTGGTTTGTGGTCCCAAACTGGTTTGGTTTGGGGTCCCAGGCTGGTTCAGTTTGGAGTTCAAATGGGCTCAGTCAGAGCTCCAAACTGGCCCCATTTTGGGTCCCAAACTGGTTTGGTTTGGGGCTCCAAAGCAGCTCAGTTTGGCCAAGAGTGGCTCAGTTTGGGGCTCCAAACTGGCCCCATTTGGAGTCCCAAACTGGCCCCATCTGGGGTTCCAAACTGGTCCCATCTGGGGTTGACTCAGTTCAGCCCTAAACTGGCTCCAAGTGGCCCCACACCAGTTCCTCTGTCCCAAACCAGCCCAGTTGTCCCCATCCCGGCCCAGTCCAGCCCAGTTTAACCCAGTCCAGCCCGGTTTAACCCAGCCTAGCCCAGTATAACCCAGTCCAGCCCAATTTAACCCAGCCCAGCCCAATTTAACCCAGCCCAGCCCAGTTTAACCCAGTCCAGCCCAGTTTAACCCAGTCCAGCCCAGTATAACCCAGTCCAGCCCA